GCTGGCTGTTCCTCCAGGTGGATTATCCAGCCACCGTGCTACACTCCTGACGGATGTTTGAGGAGCGCCTGGAGAATCTCTATTTTCCTCCCCCTACTGTTCCATTTGAGTATCTTTGGTACCATTCTGTTTCCTCCTCCCCACTGTCTCCATTGAGTATCTTTGTACGCAGTCTGTTTTCCCTCCACTGTCTCCATGGAAGTCTCTATGGTACCAGTCTGTTTCCTCCCTAACTGTCGCCATGTGATTATCTATGGACCAGGTCTGTTTCCCCTCCCTCCAACTGCTCCCTGTGAGTATCTATGGTACAGCTGTTTCCCCCCACTGTCGCCATGTGAGTATCTAGGGTACCAGTCTGTTTCCCTCCACTGTCTCCATGTTAGTATCTATGGTACCAGTCTGTTTTCCCTCCACTGTCCCCTCCATGTGAGTATCTCGGGTAACCAGTCCTGTTTCCCTCCACTGTATCCCATGTTGATATCTATTGTGCACAGTCTGTTTCTTCCTCCCACTGTCTCCAGTGAGTATCGATGGTACCAGTCTGTTTCCGTCCCCACTGTCCCATTGGTATCTATGGTACCAGTCTGTTTCCTCCTCTCCCCACGGTCTCCATGTGATATCTATGGTACCAGTCTGTTTCCCTCCACTGTCTCCATGTAGTATCTCTGGTACCAGTCTTGTTTCCCTCCACTGTCTCCATGTGAAGTATCTATGGTTACATTCTGTTTTTTCCTCTCCTTGTCTCCATGTGAGTACCTATGTTAACCCATCTGTTTCCTCCCCACTGTCTCCGTTAGTATCTATGTACCATGTCTGTTTCCCCCCCTTCTCCAGTGAGTATCTATGGTAGCCAGGTCTGTTCCTCCCCACTGTCTCCTGGTGAGTATCTATGGTACCATCTGTTTCTCCCCACTGTCTCCATGTGCGTTCTATGTAACGTCTGTTCCCCTCCACTGTCTACTGTCCTCCATTTGAAGTATCTATGGTACCATCCTGTTCCTCCCCACTGTCTCCAGGTCCAGTATCTATGGTAACCCAGTCTGTTTTCATCACTCCACTGTCCTCCTGTGAGTATTATGGTCCAGTCTGTTTTCCCTCCTGTCTCCATGTGAGTTCTATGTTACCAGTCCGTTTCTCCCCACTGTCTCCACTTGAGTATCTATGGTCCCAGTCTGTTTCCTCCCCCACTGTCTTCCATTTGAGTATCTTGGTAACATCTGTTTCCTCCTTCCCTCCACGGTCTCCATGTGAGTATCTATGGTACCAGTCTGTTTCCCTCCATGTCAGTTTTTTAAACTGAGATCTTGTAGGTGGGAGACCAACTCATGTAAAAACCTTCAATTGATGTCTGTCTTTTATCACATCTATTTCCCTCCTTTTAATCTCCTCTCTCTTTCCTCTCTCTCTCTCTCTTTCTCTCCCTCTTTCTTTCTCTCTACTCTCTCCTCTCTCCCTCCTCTCTTCCCTTTCTCTCTCTCCAGGTTGATAGTGGATGGCAGGACAGCACTGACCACCCCTCTCTCACCCCCCCTCACGGGACACCGGGCAGCGTGCACTCGGACACCTCAAACTGAGACACCAACTCACCCCAAACCCCCCCCCCCCCCCTTCCAAACACCCCTCTACCCTTCAAATTGCCATTCCTCCACCCTCACACAGCCTCCCCACTACCCACCCAATCCCTCAACTGTGTCTCAAACTAACCCAAGTCCCCCCCCCCTCACACACACGTTCAGTCGTACCTCAAGCTGAGACAACTCCCCCTCCCTTACCTGTAGCTGAGCATCACTCTCACCCTCCACTCCCTCCACACCATAACCCCCTAGCCCTTACCACCCTCCTCCTCCTCTCCCTCCCTCCCTCCACTCCCGATGCACCATAACCCCCTAGCCCTTACCACCCTCCTCCTCCTCTCCCTCCCTCCCCTCCCTCCACTCCCCGATGCAACCATAACCCCCTAGCCCTTACCACCCTCCTCCCCCTCCTCTCCTCCTCCTCTCCTCCCCTCCCTCCACTCCTGATGCACCATAACCCCCTAGCCCTTACCACCCTCCCTGTCTCCACTCCCGATGCACCATAACCCCCTAGCCCTTACCACCCTCCTCCCCCCTCCTCTCCTCCCCTCCCTCCCTCCCTCCACTCCTGATGCACCATAACCCCCTAGCCCTTACCACCCTCCTCCCCCTCCTCTCCTCCCCTCCCTCCCTCCCTCCACTCCTGATGCACCATAACCCCCCTAGCCCTTACCACCCTCCCCTCCCTCCCTCCCTCCCTCCCTCCCTCCACTCCCGATGCACCATAACCCCCTAGCCCTTACCACCCTCCTCCCCCTCCTCTCCTCCCCTCCCTCCCTCCCTCCACTCCTGATGCACCATAACCCCCTAGCCCTTACCACCCTCCCCTCCCTCCCTCCCTCCCTCCACTCCCGATGCACCATAACCCCCTAGCCCTTACCACCCTCCCTCCCTCCCTCCACTCCCGATGCACCATAACCCCCTAGCCCTTACCACCCTCCCTCCCTCCCTCCACTCCCGATGCACCATAACCCCCTAGCCCTTACCACCCTCCTCCTCCTCTCCCTCCCTCCACACGTTGTCTGACATCACTCTTTTATTCTTTCTTTTTATAACCACTTTCATTTTCTCTCGTTTAAAAAAAGATAAGATAATTTAGTCACATAGTTTTCTAATACTGTTTCACAAAGAGGCACCAGCCGCGTGTGTTGGAGCCCGACGTGGACGCATCATGTTACTCAAAACGACTACGGAAAAAAATTACAATAAGAAAAAAAAAATCATAATGTTACTCGTCTTCCATGCATGTAGTCCTTTTTAGGTGTTTAGCAATGATTGTATTTTTTCTTTTAGTTTTTTGACTTTTAAAAAAAAACAGTTGCTACAGAGAAAAATGTACACAACGAAAAGTTCTAAATGGCAGAAAATAACCAAAAATGAATAAATACATTGTATGTCAATTATTAAGCTCTGTCTCCTGTCTCATTTTATTATGGAGGGTTGGACGATCAATAAACATTAAATACAAAAGTATGTGGACACCCCTTCAAATGAGTGGATTCGGCTATTTCAGCCACAGCCGTTGCTGACAGGTGTATGAAATTGAACACACAGCCATGCATTCTCCATAGACAAACATTTGCAGTAGAATGGCCTTACTGAAGAGCTCAATGACTTTCAACGTGGCACCGTCATAGGATGCCACCTTTTCAACAAATCAGTTAGTCAAATTTCTGCCCTGCTAGAGCTGCCCCTGTCAACTGTAAGTGCTGTTATTGTCAAGTGGAAACGTCTAGGAGCAACAACGACTCACCCGCAAAGTGGTAGGCCACACAATCTCACAGAACGGGACTGCCGAGTGTTGAAGCGCGTAAAAATCGTCTGTCCTCGGTTGCAACACTCACTACCAAGTTCCAAACTGCCTCTAGAAGCAACATCAGCACAAAAACTGTTTGTCGGGAGCTTTGTGAAATGGGTTTCCATGGCTGAGCAGCCACACATAATAATAATAATATGCCATTTAGCAGACGCACAAGCCTAAGATCACCATGCGCAATGCGTCAGCTGGAGTGGTGTAAAGCTTGCCGTCATTGGACTCTGGAGCAGTGGAAACGCGTTCTCTGGAGTGATTTATCACGCTTCCCCATCTGGCAGTCCAGATGCCAGGAGAACGCTACCTGCCCCAATGCATAGTGCCAACTGTAAAGTTTGGAGGAGGAATAATGGTCTGGGGCTGTTTTTCATGGTTCGGGCTAGGCCTCTTAGTTCCAGTGAAGGGAAAACGCTACAGCATACAATTACATTCTAGACGATTCTGTGCTTCCAACTTTGTGGCAACAGTTTGGGGAAGGCCCGTTCCTATTTCAGCATGACAATACCCCCGTTCTCAAAGCGAGGCCAATACAGAAATGGTTTGTCCAGATCGGTGTGGAAGAACTTGACTGGCCTGCACAGAGCCCTGACCTCAACCCCATCGAACACCTTTGGGATGAATTGGAACGCCGACTGCAAGCCAGGCCTAATGGCCCAACATCAGTGCCCAGCCGATCTCACTAATGCTCTTGTGGCTGAATGGAAGCAAGTCCCTGCAGCAATGTTCCAACATCTAGTGGAAAGCCTTCCCAGAAGAGTGGAGGCTGTTATAGCAGCAAAGGGGGACCAACTCCATATTAATGCCCATGATTTTGGAATGAGATGTTCGACAAGCATGGGTCCACATATTTTTGGTCTTGTAGTGTAATTAATTACTAACTACCAATATATTAACAATACAAACGCTATCCTATGCTGTATGTCACAGTAGAAGACCATTCAAATATCAGTCGTTGATCTTGTAATCTGCAGACATAAATTCATGGGTATCATTGACAAATAGATCAACAGTATGATACATCAGATCAATGTTTTTATGTAAGAAAATAATAACATTTACATTTAAAAAAGCATAGAAATACCATTATATAAACTTCTGCACTATGTACAGATATAAAAATGTTTGTGTCACAACATTAAAACAGTCCCTGATCTTGTAGTCAGCTGCCAGTGCACCAGAGTAGCACAGTCAAGTTGTTGATAGATTATATTCTCAGTGATGTCACCTTGCCTGAGACCTGACCAAGATGATTAAACATTCACAATGTTCCTGATAATTCTTCCATGTACAGATATATAAAAATATTCCTCCTTTATATTGGGAGACTATAAAGAATATAGTCCCTGATCTTGTAGTCTGCAGCCAGTGCACCAGAGTAACACAGGTAGGTTGTCTGGTAGACATTAGCCTCACAGTGATGTCACCTTGCCTGAGACCTGGGGCTCATTCAAGACCGTTAAACTTTCACAATGTTGCAGATAGCCTTTCTTGTTAGATAAGACATCCTTAACTTTTCATGTGGTGTGAAAATGTTTGATGTCCTTTGTAAACATTACATGATCTGCATTTGAAAAACTCGTAATGTTTCACACTATGGCACAGAACCCCCGAAGTTAACTGTGACCCCCTTCCTCTCCCCTCCTTGGGAATGTAATACATTGTTCACTCATGTTGTGTTGAGGCTGCACATTCAGACATTCATTTGTCAACTTCTCCTTTAACTCAATAGCCAGTTTGTTCTGGCCCATCTTCCTCAGGATCTCCAGTGTGATCTTCACAGTGCCGTCGTCAAGGTATCGCTGCACCATCATATCCACTGTGGCCTCTTTGGTAGCGTTCTCCAACTGGCTCTTTGGGATTGAAGGAAAATCCTCCACTCCCTGACTCAGGTGCCACTGGAATGTCTCCAGCTGTTCTGAAACCAGCTCTGTCAGAGTGCCCAGCAGCAGATAAGAAACATGTGTTGTTGTCCCTAGATACAGAAACATAAAACAATGAGAACTATAACATGTGACATCATAATAACTAAAATAAACAGTCCTGACGGATCTGAATTCTCCTTGTATGTTTAAGTAGGTAAACAAGTTCCCTGTTGTGTGTGATGATGCCATCTTGCTGAGTCTACCTTTAATAATTGCAATTGAAGACATTCAACATGTTTATGGTTTTGAAGATTGTGAGATATTTACCTGCTGTAGCGCCACCATGTGGTGTAACTGTAGATACAAAATATAACTTGTTATAGGTCGCGAACAGTCATTCTGAGTCAGTAAAATAGCCTTTTGAGTAACCATTTCATGCGGATGAATTACCTGACGCATGAAAAAGTCACGATAAACAGGAAATGCTGGTACACTTTTATAAATGCCGACAGACAATTAGTTCATTTGACATGGTGGGATCTTTTTGTATTGGTAAAATGTATTATGCGAGAAATGGGAGTGGAAAACGCCTTTATACGCAAATATTTATATAATAAACAACATATCGAAGTAAATTTGGAGTCACGCGATATGTTGTGTGGTCCTCCCATTAAGACTTGGGAAAGCATGCAGTTCAGGCTTCAGATGAAATACGTTATGATAAACTTCACAGGGTGGTGAATATGCAAGGTGATGAGCTTTATGCTACTTTCCAATAAATGTCGAGGGTCTTAGTCTGGTGACATTTTGAACTATGCTTTGCTGCCGTTTGACTAATACAAATAATATTGCTCTTATCCATAATAATCTCAAAATGTAGGTAGCCGACCTGCACTGTATCTAGATGTTGGCTAGAGCGCACGTGCCAAGACCAGAGTGGGCACATTTGTTATAACGTAACAGTTTTTGTGACAAAACCATCAGTAGAGTTGAAAATGCGTTTGAAACCCATTTAACTTCTATTTTTCATTCAGTACATGGGAATGTATTTTTATGTGCACTACGCCAAGTTATTTCTATGTGCAGTACGTCACCACGCACAGCATTTTATCCGCAATAGAGCTCGCTAGCTTGTAGTCCTAAAACCCGGAAATTAGTTACCTCTGGTTCGTTCAGCCATCCCTATGGAAAGAATACAGTATAAATGTCCAAAATAAGTCAGAGGTTAACACAGCCTTAGGAGATCTTATACGTTTTGTTTTATGAGATAATATCAGTCAGTCAACTGGACCTTTATGAATTATGAAGCCTTTATGCTTTGTTTTTTATTACTACATAAACGTTAAAAGAATTCACAAAAAGTTTAGCAGATAAAGATTATCTCATAGAACAAAACGTATAAACTCTCCTAAGCCTGTGTTTACCGCAGACCTTATTTTCGGCAATTATCGAAAAACCTTACAAAAATGCCATTCATTTTCCCATAGGCCTTTCCCAAGGAACCATGGCGGAGTTGGTTACAACAAAAAGACGCCATCACTATTGCTCTCTATAAATCAGTTTGATGGAAACACATCTCTGGTGGGGAAATGTGCATATTGTTTTGTGCAGATTTTAGAATATTCACATGAAAATCTGTCGCAAACTGGATGGTAACCTAGCTACAGACTAAAACATCACCCACAATATTTTCCCCGATAAAAAGTTTCTCTCATGTGAAACTACCAGGAAGTCTGAAAAGACAGACTGAGTGGGCGGGGAGCTCACCTTGACTGACAGTTCTTTGAAACCGCCTATGTCAAGCAACATGGACGCAGTGATGCAATGAGATTATCTGAAGATAATTTGCTGATACACAAAGCAACTCATATCATGGTTTCACAAATTATTTGTTTATCCTGTTTGGTTACAGCATCAATATAGAAATAATGGTTGCTATATAATTTAGCTAGCTAGACCAAATTGAATTTTCAGCACTGTTTATCAAGCTAGCTAGCTAGATCATCTTGGAAAATGTTTGTTGAAACTTTACTGGTTGTGGTCTGGGTATGAACTACAAGGTGTCGAAAAGCGTTCCACAGGGATGCTGGCCCATGTTGACTCCAATGCTTCCCACAGTTGTGTCAAGTTGGCTGGATGTCCTTTGGGTGGTGGACCATTCTTGATACACACAGGAAACTGTTGAGCGTGAAAAACCCAGCAGCGTTGCAGTTCTTGACACAAACCGGTGTGCCTGGCACCTACTACTATATCTCGTTCAAAGGCATTTAAATCTCTTGTCTTGCCCATTCACCCTCTGAATGGCACACATACATAATCCATGTCTCAATTGTCTCAAGCCTTAAAAATCCTTCTTTAATCTGTCTCCTCCCCTTCATCTACACTGAATGAAGTGGATTTAACAAGTGACATCAATAAGGGATCATAGCTTTCACCTGGATTCACCTGGTCAGTCTATGTCAGGGAAGAGCAGGTGTTCATAATGTTTTGTACACTCAGTCAGACAATGTTCATATATCATGACTATCAATGATGTCAAGAAGTTTGTATGAATCTCATGTTTGGCATGTCTCTTGATGTAATGACATGACAATTGTGTCTGAGTTTTGGGCTAACCTTCCCCCACTTTTGTTCCATGCTGATGATAGACCTAGCTAGCCAGTAACTAGCTAACACCAGACACAGATGAAAGCGGAAACCTATAAGTATATTTGCCTTAGAAAATATAATTACAGGTTTCCCCTATTCATCGAACACGCTGCTATGTAAACCACACCCCTCTGCGAATACGCCTTCTGCGATGTTGGTTACAAGGCGGTACTTATTTAAATTAGGTAAGAAAATAATGTCACAAAAATCCTTTAATAATCCCAGCTCCTGAATCCAAGTGGTTGACATGGGGGAGAGGATGAGTAACTTTATGATAACTTTATCAATGCAGAAGCAACAGTCATTTTTCATACTTTGGTCATCCTACTTTGATCTGATTTAATTCGAATATCATCACATTTCATGAAAAACATGATTTTGACTGTGCAGGACCTTTAACAAAATAAGTGACAGACCATAAAGAATATAGTCGTTTAAATTTATGGTGCAGTTTATGAGCTAGGTTAAACCGCAGGTCAAATCAAATGGCGCACACACAATCTATTTTACAACACAAAACCATTAGGAGAATATTAGTTGTTCACAATTGAATTGTGAGTTGATGAGACTAAGACAAGTATAAGGTTTGATGAGACCAGTTACCTGTAGACTTCACTTCTGTTGGTGAGGCTGTGGATTAAAAGAGAAGGTGATGTACTACATTTATATGGTGAAATAATCAATTGTATCATAATTAAATTAAATCAACAACAACAGCACTATTACCATACTATTATGATGATTGCTACTAATGTAAAATGTAAATGTAAAATGCTATTATTACTACTAGTTCTATAGTAACTCCTACTCTCTCTGAATTTCAGTTACCTGGTAGTAAAACAAGGCGGTTCCATACGCGTTCATTTTCAGGACCGTCATGTCCTTTCAGAAGAAGATTCACTTTTTTAATAACAGTTTGTAAATCCAACTGAAATGTTGGCATGTAGTTTGTATAGGAATCATAATCCACAAACTCTGCATCCTGAAAAAAAAGCACAAGTATCAAGTCAAACAGAATTGTACGTGATTTCTATTTCTTATCAAGGTAGCATCACAAAAATAATGTACATGTGTTAACACATTTCCTCTCTCTCTCTAGCTCATGTCATATATATATTAGCCTACCTCTGGATCTATGTGATGTTCATCTGTAAGATCGGTGGAGAGGGTGTATTCTTGGTCCGGGGTTAGTCTACAGTTGGGATTTTTTTCAATGTAGATTTCTCTGTCTCCATTCCTTCTCCTCCTTGTCTTACACACCTTGAGAGGATTGAAAATGGATTGGAACACACTGTCATGATGAGGTAGCCCTGCCTGAAACATGGAAGCCCAAATGTCGCCCTCGGACCTTGAGGATGTCCTCTTGGTCTAATGGTTAAGATGTTGGATTGGTGAGCGAGAGACCCCCCAGGTTTGGATTCACCATTCAGTGTTACATTACACCCAAAAATAATGTTCTGTGGCAAAAGGTGAGTTCAACAGTACGAGTTTGATAGAATTCCAACGAAAGAGGAATTTGACAACTCTAATCTACTTACCTCATCAATGTCAACATTTCTAGGCAGCAACAACACATTTAGGGTGGAATTATTTGTATCATCTGGGAGTTGGTAAAATAGTAGCACCAGACCACGGATAGGAGAGACAGGGGCTTCCATATCCTTGGTGATGCCATAGTTGCTGAATCCATTGATGTTTAATATGACATGAGTTTCTGTTGTCTCATGGGGACGGAGAAACTCCATACTGTCATCATCAGTCACATGGGCTACAGACAGGAAGTCACATCCACCCTCTAGGAGAGAAAGAGAACATTAGTCTTCTGTTCAGATGACAAAAACAACCAAGTAGTGGAGTAGTGATGCTACTGATGGTGATTAAGAATACGTAGTCTATAACCTCCTTGGAAATGTATTACTTACCAGAATGAATCTCACAGTGTGGGAGGTGTAGTTGACAGACAGACCCCTTAAGGCATGTAAACTTGAACAGGGGTCCTGCAGGTCTCTTGCCTCTCTGGGCTAGAAGCCTCCTGTCCCAGGGGACTGTCCTATAGAGCACCTCTCCCTCTCCCTCCATCCTAAACACCAGGCCTGTTATACTGCACTGGAACAGACCTGCACTGGGGCACTGGAACCTGTAGAACAAACAATGAAGGATTTCATTTTAATGAGATTTCCTGGATTTAAGGTATTGTCCTTCTTTTATACAAACTACCAATAAGAAACATTAAATATATTAAGTTACTGGTATTCTCCCCTGTTGTCCTGATCGTGGATTTCAGGTGTAAATTCATCTGGAGAACTCTAAAATGTAGAAACAATAGATACTGTAATTCAACCAATAGTGTGAAGAAGAGCTTTTAATTTCAGTCTTTCTCTCAGTCCAGTGAGGGTCTTACCATGTGATGGTGTTCCAGGAAGAGAGGAGAACCTAAAGAGAACCAAATAAAGATGTTTTTCTATACAACTTCAACTTCATCATTGATCCAGATTAATATGTTAGCTGTATAGCTGTTACCCCTTTCTCTTCCCAACTCCTCGTCCATCCTCTGGATGTTCTCCTGGGTGTTCACAGCTACCTCTGTGTTGACACTGTTAGCCATCTCCAGTGGGATGTCTAGGATGGGAGGACAGTCCATCTCCAGCTTTGGGGTTTCCTAGATTCAAATCAACAGAATAGAAACATACTTCTATAATAGAAAAATGTTCTATGTAAATTTGACCTGTTTTCTGTTCTATTGTGAACATGTTGCCCACCATGGCAGCAGTGAGAAGGGCAGGGACAATCGGGCTGCAGTCTGACCCCCACCACTCATAGTGTACATGAGAGATTAGTTAATTATCTAGACTGTATGTGTGGACTGTATCATTTCATACTGTAGAACTGACTATGACAGTGAGTACAGGTGTTTTAACATATGAGGGTAGAACTGTAGAACTGACTATGACAGTGAGTACAGGTGTTTTAACATATGAGGGTAGAACTGACTATGACAGTGAGTACAGGTGTTTTAACATATGAGGGTAGAAGTGTAGAACTGACTATGACAGTGAGTACAGGTGTTTTAACATATGAAGGTAGAAGTGATCCTACATTTCTCTAACCGTCCTCTTACCTGTGACCTGAACTGTCCTGAGCTACCAGCAGAAGTTAACCACAACAACTCCTTAGACGAGCCAAAGGAGGGGGAGGATCTGGAGAGAAGGGGGGAAATGGGGGGTAACCATACAGGGGAGAGGACGGATCGGGGCCTCGGTGGGAATAAGGGCAGGTGAGAGGTTGAGGCAGTACCTGAGAAAGAGGGGGAAACAGGGGAAATAGAGGGGAAGATAGGAGGGGGGATAGAGAGACAGTTAGGGTCCTTGTCTACAATCCTACTTCTCTGATCTCTCTCTAACTTCTCTGCCAGATCATTCTGGTTCATCTTCCAGATTAGGCAGCTCAGGAAGAGACATACAGCCATGATTAGAAAGTCTAATCCGTTTGTGATATCTTCCCTACTGTATTGGTGATTGTATGTATGTAATATAATGAATGTTGGATTGCTGTTTAAACATAATGGGGTCACCTGGATACATCATGAATAAAAATGATAAAAGAGAGGCCTGCTGAATGTTATTATGAAGTCAGTTGAATGTTCTTTCTGGTTAGAGCTACACTGAACTGTGATTGTGATGTATAGATTGATGTACATTCTTGTTCTGTTACCTCTGTAATCTCTCTCTAACTTCTCTGCCAGATCATTCTGGTTCATCCACCTCAGGATCCTCAGAGTGATCTCCACAGCTCTCTCAGGGCCGTATGTCTTCACCATCTGATCCACTGTGACCTGTTTGTCAGCGTTCTCCAGCTGGCCTTCTGGGATGGGAGGACAGTAAGGCAGCAGGCCACTAGTCAGGAAAGACTGAAATGTCTTCAGCTCATGTGGGTTCATCTCCTCCAGAGTTGTCAGCAGCAGAGCTGGAACAGCCAACATTCTCTAAAACAACAAAGATAACAACAGTGAGGAAGGAATAGAAAAACTGACTACTGATATAAAATAAAGAACATGAATATATTAATATTGTTAAGACGTATTAGAATAGTTCTACTGGTCCCTCAATATCTCATTCTCATATCATCATATAATAGATTACAGTTGGAACTTTAACACACGCACGCACACAAACACACACACACACACACACAGAAATATAATCACAGCCTTTTTGTCTAATGGTGTGTGTGTGTGTGTGTGTAGGGATGCAGTCTGACCCCCACCACTCATAGTGTACATGAGAGATTAGTTAATTATCTAGACTGTATGTGTGGACTGTATCATTTCATACTGTAGAACTGACTATGACAGTGAGTACAGGTGTTTTAACATATGAGGGTAGAAGTGATCCTACATTTCTCTAACCGTCCTCTTACCTGTGACCTGAACTGTCCTGAGCTACCAGCAGAAGTTAACCACAACAACTCCTTAGACGAGCCAAAGGAGGGGGAGGATCTGGAGAGAAGGGGGGAAATGGGGGGTAACCATACAGGGGAGAGGACGGATCGGGGCCTCGGTGGGAATAAGGGCAGGTGAGAGGTTGAGGCAGTACCTGAGAAAGAGGGGGAAACAGGGGAAATAGAGGGGAAGATAGGAGGGGGGATAGAGAGACAGTTAGGGTCCTTGTCTACAATCCTACTTCTCTGATATCTCTCTAACTTCTCTGCCAGATCATTCTGGTTCATCTTCCAGATTAGGCAGCTCAGGAAGAGACATACAGCCATGATTAGAAAGTCTAATCCGTTTGTGATATCTTCCCTACTGTATTGGTGATTGTATGTATGTAATATAATGAATGTTGGATTGCTGTTTAAACATAATGGGGTCACCTGGATACATCATGAATAAAAATGATAAAAGAGAGGCCTGCTGAATGTTTTATGAAGTCAGTTGAATGTTCTTTCTGGTTAGACCTCCACTGAACTGTGATTGTGATGTATAGATTGATGTACATTCTTGTTCTGTTACCTCCTCTGTGATCTGTCTCTAACTTCTCTGGTAGGTCTACCCGCTTCATCCCCCTCAGGATCCTCAGTGTGATCTCCACAGCTCTCTCAGGGCCGTATGTCTTCACCATCTGACCCACTTTGACCTGTATGTCAGCGTTCTCCAGCTGACTCTCTGGGATGGGAGGACAGTCAGGCAGCAGGCCACTAGTCAGGAAAGACTGAAATGTCTTCAGCTCTTGTGGGTTCATCTCCTCCAGAGTTGTCAGCAGCGGAGCTGGAACAGCCAACATTCTCTAAAACAACAAAGGTGACAACAGTGAGGAAGGAATAGAAAAACTGACTACTGATATAAAATAAAGAACATGAATATATTAATATTGTTAAGACGTATTAGAATAGTTCTACTGGTCCCTCAATATCTCATTCTCATATCATCATATAATAGATTACAGTTGGAACTTTAACACACGCACGCACACAAACACACACACACACACACACAGAAATATAATCACAGCCTTTTTGTCTAATGGTGTGTGTGTGTGTGTGTGTAGGGATGCAGTCTGACCCCCACCACTCATAGTGTCCATGAGAGATTAGTTAATTATCTAGACTGTATGTGTGGACTGTATCATTTCATACTGTAGAACTGACTATGACAGTGAGTACAGGTGTTTTAACATATGAGGGTAGAAGTGATCCTACATTTCTCTAACCGTCCTCTTACCTGTGACCTGAGCAGTCCTGAGATACCAGAAAAACGTCCTAGATTAGACAGAAAGGAAGGAGGAGGACCTGGAGGGTAACCATACTGGAAAGGGATAATTCGGGGCCTGGTGGGAATAAGGACAGATGAGAGGTTGAGGCTGTACCTGAGAAAGAAGAGCTCAAACCACCTAGTTTATAATAGATAATATACTCTATGTCCACTCATATCCACTCTGAGGGGTGGCCCTGGCTGTACCAGGTAGATAATAGATAATATACTCTATGTTCACTCACATTCTAGAAGAGGTGCTGGATGCCTCTTCACTCTCCTCCCCTGCTGGCTTCCTTTCCTTCTCAGAGGCAGATATCTCCTACACACACACACACACCACACCACACCACACCACACCACACACCACACACAGTCTGTGTCTTGTCTGCAGTATTTTCTATTCAGGACCACATGGGAAAGCCTACATGTTCTACCCCTCCGCATATATGTGCACATCCACACACGGCACTGTAACTGATGATATCAAACTAGTTTAGGGTCTGGGCGTGTAATACAACTTTCTCTTGCCAACATCTCTTGATTGAGATGGTATGTGATTGAAATCGCAAAAGTTTACCAGCTAAAATGTAGATTATTTCAGCCTTCACTCCTTCGAATGACATGCAAAGTGGTAGATATGAAATCATTGGATATTAACATTACTGCGTTATTAATTCATAGCTAGATTATTACCTAGACATTTTAAAAGTAGGCCTATGAACTATTACATCAGACGTTGTTGCATTTCATCATGTAAAGTTATTTTCCCCGTTGTTCCCATTACTTTGATCGAGTCAATCTCGCACTTCCGTGTTGCTATAAATCAAATATGAAATGAATCCAATGTAGCCTACTTTACTGTTTATTAACAACAAACTTTTCAGTTACTTTTCATATTTCCAGATTCCATTAAATAACAGCATACTCAGTTTTTTTTTCAAACTATTTTCTTACCCTGAACCAGTCCATTTTTAGACACTACAGTGCAGACAGCCGACAGGAAAGTAATGAAGCCTGATAGTAGAGCGCTAATTTCCTTTCGTTTTCAGCAGCCCATCCCATCCTGTGGCACATCCTCCCTATAGGTCTCTAGTAAGTTCGTCGCCCTCTAGTGGACAAACTGACACCAAACCAAAACAGGTGGGCGAGAGAAGCCATTCTTATCCAGCGATAAAGTTGAAACAACATCTCTGATATTGTCTTGTTCTTTATGTTTCCAGTTGAATCCCAGGTTGTATTTATAATGTAATAATATTCGGACTCCTTTATTGCCTTTGTGGGATTTATTTAAGTTATGAAGAAAACATGAAAATATACTGTATGTTTAATAGTCTGCCTGTCTGTCTGTCTGGTACGGGATGTAGGAGTAGGGTTGCAACATTCCTGGAACTTTCAATAAATTCCCTTGTTTTCCCAGAGGATTACGGATTTCCTGCGTATTTGTATTTATTATGGATCCCCATTAGTTCCTGTCAAGGCTGCAGCTACTCTTCCTGGGGTCCAGCAAAATTAAGACAGTTCATGCAATTTTAAAAACATTACAATACATTCACAGATTTCACAACACACTGTGTGCCCTCAGGCCCCTACTCCACCACTACCACAGATCTACAGTATTAATCCATGTGTACGTGTGTGTATAGTGAGTATGTTATCGTGTGTGTGTATGCATGTGTCTGCGCCTATGTTGTGTTGCTTCACTGTCCCCGCTGTTCCATAAGGTGTTTAATCTGTTTTTTTAAATATAATTTTACTACTTGCATCAGTTACTTGGTGTGGAATAGAGTTCCATGTGGTCATGGCTCTATGTAGTACTGTGCACCTCCCATAGTCTGTTCTGGACTTGGGGACTGTGAAGAGACCTCTGGTGGCGTGTCTTGTGGGGTATGCATGGGTGACCGAGCTGTGCGCCAGCAGCTCAAACAGACAGCTCGGTGCATTCTACATGTCAACACCTCTCATAAACACAAGCAGTGATGAAGTCAATCTCTCCTCCACTTTGAGCCAGGAGAAATGTACATGCATATTATTAATATTAGCTCTCTGTGTACATCCAAGGGCCAGCCGTGCTGCCCTGTTCTGAGCCAATTGCAATTTTCCTAAGTCCTTTTTTGTGGCACCTGACTACACAACTGAACATTAGTCCAGGTGTGACAAGACTAGGGCCTGAAGAGGACCTGCCTTGTTAGTGCTGTTAAGAAGGTAGAATACGCTTTATTATGGACATACTTCTCCCCATCTTAGCTACTGTTGTATCAATATGTTTTGACAATGACAGTTTACAATCCAGGGTTACTCCAAGCAGGTTAGTCACCTCAACTGCTCAATTTCCACATTATTTATTACAATATTTAGTTGAGGTTTAGGGTTTAGTGAATGATTTGTTCCAAATACAATGCTTTTAGTTTTAGAAATATTTAGGACTAACATATTCCTTGCCACCCACTCTGAAACTAACTGCTAGTCTTTGTTAAGTGTTGCAGTCATTTCAGTCGCTGTAGTAGCTGACATGTATAGTGTTGAGTCATCCTCATACATAGACACTCTGGCTTTACTCAAAGCCAGTGACATGTCATTAGTTAAAGATTGAAAAAGTAATGGGCCTAGACAGCTGCCCTGGGGAATTCCTGATTCTACCTGGATTATGTCGAAGAGGCTTCCATTAAAGAACACCCTCTGTGTTCTGTTAGACAGGTAACTCTTTATCCACAATATAGCAGGTGGAGTAAAGCCCATAACACATACGTTTTTTCCAGCAGCAGACTATGATCGATTATGTCAAAAGTTGCAACCGAAGTCTAACAAAACAGCCCCCACAATCTTTTTATCATCAATTTCTCTTAGCCAATCATCAGTCATTTGTGTAAGTGCTGTGCTTGTTGAATGTCCTTCTCTATGAGCATGCTGAAAGTATGATGTCAATTTGTTTACTGTAAAATAGCATTGTATCTGGTCAACACAATTTTTTCCAATAGTTTACTAAGGGTTGGTAACAGGCTGATTGGTCGGCTATTTGAGCCAGTAAAGGAGGCTTTACTATTCTTAGGTAGCGGAATGACTTTTGCTTCCCTCCAACCCTGGGGGCACACACATTCTAGTAGGCTTAAATTGAAAATATGGCAAATAGGAGTGGCAATATCGTCCGCTATTATCCTCAGTAATTTTCCATCCAAGTTGTCAGAACCCCTGTGGCTTGTCATTGTTGATAGACAACAATAATTTTTTCACCTCTTCCACACTAACTTTACCGAATAAAAAATTACAATGCTGGGTAGTGAGCTTGTGACCCCTTGTAGAATGAAAAAGTAATTTCCAGGGTAGGTCTGCCTGAGTATAAGTAAGTGTTAGACTTGTCCTGTGAACACTACGAGCGACAAGAAACCTCAAGAGAGACAAACCACAGAAAACTCTAAAGAAAAAATTAAGAAAACATGGATTTGTTAAGTACTGACCCGCCCGTGATGACATTAACATGGAAGTAGGACCCAGGCTATATCATAAAGGGATGAGTAGACATCATCAATATATGATGCTCCAAAAAATACTTTTCTACATTTCTATAGAACCAAAATACCTCCCGTAACTGTACTGAAAGATCAAGTGTTGATGTCTAATGGACAACTATGGGGGTATATGTTTGATTACCCTATCTATAGAGTGAAACCATATACCTTAGCCCAAGGAGAAGAATATACAGACCAAACCTTAGGAGTGGACTACAGGATTGAAGACTGGTATGTGTTTCGCAAGGTGGTGTGTCCTGAACTGAGAGTTACCTCAAAGGGTTATAGCCTGTACACGGGGTACAAGGCCCGGTGGGAAGGTGCCCCTGACTCCTCAGGAAGAATATTTCATAGGGTGAAAATACAAAGAAAGAATGGACTTCCTTGTGGAGGCGTGGAGCTCTATATCAGCAACGAGAAAAATCAGTTAACGGAACCTCCGTGATGGGGGGCTGACAGGGGATTTTAGGTTACGTATGCTTATTCCTTTTATAGGCTGGGATATAATGGAATTGAAATTGTTTGAGTTAGTGGATGCTCTCTTTGTACAAGAGCCCAACGCAGGCAGAGTATTGTTAAACTAAGGAAGTGTATTATACCTATGGATACTAAGGATATGGGTGAAACGAGGCCCCAGAAGGGTCAACCCCTGAAAAAAAAACGGAGTATGCTGGTGGTACGTTAACCCCCGCCCCGAGCCCAAGGAAGGGTTCAACAATAAAAAGGGGTTACCATAGTTACCCCTATGGTTCTTCATTTTATCATATACCATGGATACCATTTTCTACATGAACTGAAGTTGTCGATCTTCATCCATGAGAAACTCAAAGAAATCAAACATTCCACTAGTGGACAACAACAAAGACAAGGAAGCTTTGGTGGCAGATGTGGTGACTTTCTGGCTCAATAAACCCCAAGAAAACGAATACGTTTTATTATTATAATTATATATATTATTTTTTTATTACATATAAAGTAATGGGGGAACTATTTATATAACATGAAGAGAGAATAACTACATTTTTATTTTCAGAGAATTTACAACTCTTATGAAACAATTGACAAACTGTACCCCTGCACATTGACTCTGTACCGGCACCCCACGTTATATAGCCTCGCTACTGTTATTTTATTTTAACTGCTGCTCTTTAAATATATATATTTTTTACTTATTGAGAGGTTTATAATGGTGATGAATCTCTAGTTTGTTATTGAGAGGTTTATAATGGTCATGAATCTCTAGTTTGTTAGTTGAGAGGTTTATGAGGGTGACGAATCTCTAGTTTGTTATTGAGAGGTTTATAATGGTGATGAATCTCTAGTTTGTTTATTGAGAGGTTTAGAATGGGTGATTAATCTGTAGTTTGTTATCGAGAGGTTTATAATGATGGTGAATGTCAGTGAACTTGTAGAGGTGACATCTGTTTGGTGAGGCTGAAAAGAGATGGTGTTTTACTATCTGATAAAAGGTATATTCATTATAACCCAACCATAATCATATGATATAATGACATCATAGTTCAATAACAATAACGCTGTAAGAGAACTAAAAACATGTAATAGTACTATCGGGTCTGACTTCATTGATTGGATTTGAGCTCTGAATGTTGTTACCACCTGGCAACCAGACAAGTCCGTTCCATCCAAGTTTCATCACCTTCCTTTTCTTTCAGAAAAAACAACTTGAAAGTGTGGGGTAGTAAGTTTGCTTTCATAGGAAGTGACAATGAAATAAAAAATTACATTGTATAAAAATGTATTACCTCAAATGATTGTATTCGATGTGCATCTGTGGAATTAGTGGAGAAGGCGTATTCCTTGCGTCTGGGGAAGTTTACACTGAGAAGTTGTTTAAAAGGTCTCACATTCCATCCCTTTCAATCACCGCACCTTGAAAAACCAACAATAGACAGGTTAATTGTGCTTCAAAAAACCCTCTTTTTAAAAATAATTGCAGAGAATGTGAGTAAAAAAACGACTTAAAGCTTGAGAATAATGCAATAAGATCAAAAAGGTCAACAGATGGAATTCAGTCACACTTGCTTCTCTCATAATGGTTTGATTAAATGTTTAGCCGTTATGCCAGTATTACATTTCCCATTGTGTGTTTGATTGAACTCCAGCCAGATAGAAGAAGGTTTCTGGGGTTGTAGGGCTCCCAGCTCACCTCTTTTTCTCACAACATTACTGGGAAGCAACAACATATTCAGAGGACCTCTCTTCAGGGACAAACGGTTGGTAGAATAACAACACAAGCCCCTGGATAGGGAGACAGGAGCCTCATCCTTGGTGAGGCCATAAATCACAGAATCCAGTGATGTTTATTATAATGTGTGTTTCTGTTATCTCATGAGAGGAAGAAACTCAATGATGTCATCAGTCACATGGGCTACAGACAGGAAGTCACATCCACCACCTGGGAAAGAAAGAGAACATTTAGATCTTTCTCAGATATACTACAATATAAATGACAACCAAGACAATGGTAGAATATTAGCAGAGTAATCTTCTTAGAGCAGTCTTGAAAGTGAAATTCCTCTTTTATTCCAGAAAGTTTACTTGAAATGAATACTTACCAGAATGAATCTGAGAGTGTGGAGGTGTAGTTGGCAACAGACTTCTGAGGGCATCGATGTTGAACAGGGGTCCTGCAGGTCTCTGGCCTCTCTGGGCTAGAAGCCTCCTGTTCCAGGGGACTGTCCTATAGAGCACCTCTCCCTCTCCCTCCCTCCTAACACCCCGGCCTGTTATAGCACTGGAACAGACCTGCACTTGGGGACTGGAACCTGTAGAAAAACAAAAAGAAATATGTTCCACGTTCTACAAAAAAAGAATAAGAACAAGGAAAAAAAACATCAAATTACCGGGATGTTTCCTTGCGTGATATGTCGGGGGTAATTCATTGCAAAACTCCTGAAATTCCCAAAAAAAACAGTATTCAACCAAATATCCCCTCCTCCTCATTGTAAGTATATATATTATATATTGAATTTTACCAGGATGGAGGGGGGAAAAAGGAAGGTCACCCCCGGAATGGAGACAGGAGTGAACGTGGAGAGGGAGCTGGAGAGGAGGAAAGTGGAGAGGGGACCCCGTGGGGAGGGGACAAGGTGTCCTGATGGTGAGACATTGGAGAGTGTCCCGGGTGGTGAACAGGAGGGGTTTTCCCGTGGTGAGACATGGAGAGGGGGCCGATGGTGAGATGATCCTGGTTCCAACAGGGGTAATGATGAGGCGATGAAGGCATCAGGAGGGGGCTTACCTTCCCCTTGGAACCTCTGTAGACTACAGAAGACCAACACCACTCACACGACAGACATACGACCCAAATGATCGCAGGTATCTTTCTTCATTGCTTTTTCCTATGCCTAAAATTTCCACCAAGTCTTCTGTATCCTTTTTGTACACACATATCACGACTTTTTTTTGTGACGTTTGGTGAAATGATGAAGGGGAAAACAATCAATCCCCATTTTGGAAAATCTGTACAAAAAATACTTTTTCCTGCGGGTATTTTGGTCAGGACAACTAGCAGAGTTGAAAGAAGTTTAAAACAATGAAAAAAAAGTAACCCAAAAGCGCTTTAGCTCAGCTTAACAAAAAGGAAAACAGGTGCTCCACTGAGGGACTTTATATCCAAAAAAACATTTCAAAACAAGCTCCTGTTGTTTTCAAAAAATCATCTATCAATCTACCCCGGGAAAAGAGTGCTCCTTTTTATTATTCTCCCGGGTGTCCCCCAGTTTTAAGTTCCGAGGTAGAAAAAGGTATCACCATTTAAGTATCCCGGGTAGGAATGGTTCACCAGTTGAAGTTCCTGAGGTAAGGAATTTATAGTCACCAGTTGAAAATATCCTGGGTAAGGAAAAAATTTGTCACCAGTTGAAGTATCCGAGGTAAGGAAAAAATTTGTCACCCCCTGAAATATCCTGAGGTAAGGAATGTTTTTTTAGAGTTATACAATATTTGAAATTTTCAAGGGCTTTGGGGGATGGCAAAGATTGTGCAGGTAAATGTTAGATCCCAAAGGAAAGTGGGGGTGTTAAACCCCAAACATCCCCCATCCCCTCACCCGGACCATAAAACTTTACCTTTGTGATTCCAGGACTTTTGCTCCCGATGCCTCTCTGTCCCAACTCTAAACTTCCGTCAGCTGCTTTTCGTCTCTCTCTCTTCACATTACCCGTGTCTGGAGTCGTTCCACCATCTTTTGCGTGGTGTATTTTTAGAATTGAAGAGAATAAAAGGTATATTTTTCGTTTACTTTTCCTTTCATCTTTCATTCTATTTAAATCATGTTGTCTTTTTTGAAGGACGTTTATGACACATTTTTTTTAACACAGTTTTACGGTGTTTTTCCTTCTGGTCTGTAATCTCTCTCTAAATTCTCGTACATCATTCGGTTCACCTTCTCAGGCACAGTGTGATCCCAAAGCTTTCTCAGTGCCGTAGTTTCCAAACCCAATGATCCACTGTGACCTGTAGTCAACCTTCTCCAACTGGGTCTCATCGGGAGCTGGACACAGTCGGGATGTCTGAACGTTTCACTTTCTTCAGTGAGCCCTCCAGAGTGGGCAGCAGCGAGCGGGAACATCCAACATGGGGGCCTAAAAAAAAACAAAAATGATCAATATAAGGAAGAAATAAAAACTGACTACTGATATAAAATAAAAAACATAACACATTAATATTTGGGAGGACTCTAGAATCATTCTATGGTCCTTCAATACCTCATTCTCATACCCCAAACCCACATTGTGATCTTCAACGGTTGTTCTCCATTCTCATCGCATGCTCTGTTCCCCTACACCACCACCCCCCATGCTGTGATCATTTACGTTCCCTATTCCCTTTTTCCTCATGAAAAAAATCAATAAAAAAAAAGTTTAAAGGAAAATATCTTTTTTTTTTTTTTTTTTTCCCCGGTGCTTGGATATAAAATTTCATGTTCTGAATGTCCAGGGGCCTTTTACATTTTATTTCACTTGGGTTATGGAAACGTACCCCCCCAGTGATAGACTTCCTATGCTCATTCGGTTGCGGGGGGACAGATAAAAAATAACAAAAGGGCCCAAAACACCCAACTATGTCCTTTAAAACGGGGGAAAAAAAATTTGGGCACTTCCTCTCAGAAGCAGCACAAAAAACCCCCCCACCTTTACCCCGCTTATTGTCGGTGTCTAAAACCCGTAGAAAACGTTAGGGGTGAGTTTTTGAATGATAAGGGGCAGCCTAAAAAACATTTGAAATTTATAGCAAAGATTATGACCTTTTAATCCCAAAACCCTTTTTTCCTTTTTTTAATAAAAGGTTTTGGGGGGGGTGGGTTTAAGGAATACATTAAATAAATTAATGTTCCCCTTTCCATAAAATTTTAATAAAAAAATTCCCCCAAAAAATAATAAAATCTTTTTTGGTACCAAAAAAGTAAAAAATTTTTAGTGTTGCTTTACACACCAGCACACCCCCCACCACATATAATCACAGCCTTTTTGTCAAATGGTGTGTGTGTGTGTGTGTGTAGGGATGCAGTCTGACCCCCACCACTCATAGTGTCCATGAGAGATTAGTTAATTATCTAGACTGTATGTGTGGACTGTATCATTTCATACTGTAGAACTGACTATGACAGTGAGTACAGGTGTTTTAACATATGAGGGTAGAAGTGATCCTACATTTCTCTAACCGTCCTCTACCTGTGACCTGAGCAGTCCTGAGATACCAGAAAAACGTCCTAGATTAGACAGAAGGAAGGAGGAGGACCTGGAGGGTAACCATACTGGAAAGGGATAATTCGGGGCTGGTGGGAATAAGGACAGATGAGAGGTTGAGGCTGTACCTGAGAAAGAAGAGCTCAAACCACCTAGTTTATAATAGATAATATACTCTATGTCCACTCATATCCACTCTGAGGGGTGGCCCTGGCTGTACCAGGTAGATAATAGATAATATACTCTATGTTCACTCACATTCTAGAAGAGGTGCTGGATGCCTCTTCACTCTCCTCCCCTGCTGGCTTCCTTTCCTTCTCAGAGGCAGATATCTCCTACACACACACACACACCACACCACACCACACCACACCACACACCACACACAGTCTGTGTCTTGTCTGCAGTATTTTCTATTCAGGACCACATGGGAAAGCCTACATGTTCTACCCTCCGCATATATGTGCACATCCACACACGGCACTGTAACTGATGATATCAAACTAGTTTAGGGTCTGGGCGTGTAATACAACTTTCTCTTGCCAACATCTCTTGATTGAGATGGTATGTGATTGAAATCGCAAAAGTTTACCAGCTAAAATGTAGATTATTTCAGCCTTCACTCCTTCGAATGACATGCAAAGTGGTAGATATGAAATCATTGGATATTAACATTACTGCGTTATTAATTCATAGCTAGATTATTACCTAGACATTTTAAAAGTAGGCCTATGAACTATTACATCAGACGTTGTTGCATTTCATCATGTAAAGTTATTTTCCCCGTTGTTCCCATTACTTTGATCGAGTCAATCTCGCACTTCCGTGTTGCTATAAATCAAATATGAAATGAATACAATGTAGCCTACTTTACTGTTTATTAACAACAAACTTTTCAGTTACTTTTCATATTTCCAGATTCCATTAAATAACAGCATACTCAGTTTTTTTTAAAACTATTTTCTTACCCTGAACCAGTCCATTTTTAGACACTACAGGTGCAGACAGCCGACAGGAAAGTAATGAAGCCTGATAGTAGAGCGCTAATTTCCTTTCGTTTTCAGCAGCCCATCCCATCCTGTGGCACATCCTCCCTATAGGTCTCTAGTAAGTTCGTCGCCCTCTAGTGGACAAACTGACACCAAACCAAAACAGGTGGGCGAGAGAAGCCATTCTTATCCAGCGATAAAGTTGAAACAACATCTCTGATATTGTCTTGTTCTTTATGTTTCCAGTTGAATCCCAGGTTGTATTTATAATGTAATAATATTCGGACTCCTTTATTGCCTTTGTGGGATTTATTTAAGTTATGAAGAAAACATGAAAATATACTGTATGTTAATAGTCTGCCTGTCTGTCTGTCTGGTACGGGATGTAGGAGTAGGGTTGCAACATTCCTGGAACTTTCAATAAATTCCCTTGTTTTCCAGAGGATTACGGATTTCCTGCGTATTTGTATTTATTATGGATCCCCATTAGTTCCTGTCAAGGCTGCAGCTACTCTTCCTGGGGTCCAGCAAAATTAAGACAGTTCATGCAATTTTAAAAACATTACAATACATTCACAGATTTCACAACACACTGTGTGCCCTCAGGCCCCTACTCCACCACTACCACAGATCTACAGTATTAATCCATGTGTACGTGTGTGTATAGTGAGTATGTTATCGTGTGTGTGTATGCATGTGTCTGCGCCTATGTTGTGTTGCTTCACTGTCCCCGCTGTTCCATAAGGTGTTTAATCTGTTTTTTTAAATATAATTTTACTACTTGCATCAGTTACTTGGTGTGGAATAGAGTTCCATGTGGTCATGGCTCTATGTAGTACTGTGCACCTCCCATAGTCTGTTCTGGACTTGGGGACTGTGAAGAGACCTCTGGTGGCGTGTCTTGTGGGGTATGCATGGGTGACCGAGCTGTGCGCCAGCAGCTCAAACAGACAGCTCGGTGCATTCTACATGTCAACACCTCTCATAAACACAAGCAGTGATGAAGTCAATCTCTCCTCCACTTTGAGCCAGGAGAAATGTACATGCATATTATTAATATTAGCTCTCTGTGTACATCCAAGGGCCAGCCGTGCTGCCCTGTTCTGAGCCAATTGCAATTTTCCTAAGTCCTTTTTTGTGGCACCTGACTACACAACTGAACATTAGTCCAGGTGTGACAAGACTAGGGCCTGAAGAGGACCTGCCTTGTTAGTGCTGTTAAGAAGGTAGAATAACGCTTTATTATGGACATACTTCTCCCCATCTTAGCTACTGTTGTATCAATATGTTTTGACAATGACAGTTTACAATCCAGGGTTACTCCAAGCAGGTTAGTCACCTCAACTTGCTCAATTTCCACATTATTTATTACAATATTTAGTTGAGGTTTAGGGTTTAGTGAATGATTTGTTCCAAATACAATGCTTTTAGTTTTAGAAATATTTAGGACTAACATATTCCTTGCCACCCACTCTGAAACTAACTGCTAGTCTTTGTTAAGTGTTGCAGTCATTTCAGTCGCTGTAGTAGCTGACATGTATAGTGTTGAGTCATCCTCATACATAGACACTCTGGCTTTACTCAAAGCCAGTGACATGTCATTAGTAAAGATTGAAAAAGTAATGGGCCTAGACAGCTGCCCTGGGGAATTCCTGATTCTACCTGGATTATGTCGAAGAGGCTTCCATTAAAGAACACCCTCTGTGTTCTGTTAGACAGGTAACTCTTTATCCACAATATAGCAGGTGGAGTAAAGCCATAACACATACGTTTTTCCAGCAGCAGACTATGATCGATTATGTCAAAAGTTGCACCGAAGTCTAACAAAACAGCCCCCACAATCTTTTTATCATCAATTTCTCTTAGCCAATCATCAGTCATTTGTGTAAGTGCTGTGCTTGTTGAATGTCCTTCTCTATGAGCATGCTGAAAGTATGATGTCAATTTGTTTACTGTAAAATAGCATTGTATCTGGTCAAACACAATTTTTTCCAATAGTTTACTAAGGGTTGGTAACAGGCTGATTGGTCGGCTATTTGAGCCAGTAAAGGAGGCTTTACTATTCTTAGGTAGCGGAATGACTTTTGCTTCCCTCCAACCCTGGGGGCACACACATTCTAGTAGGCTTAAATTGAAAATATGGCAAATAGGAGTGGCAATATCGTCCGCTATTATCCTCAGTAATTTTCCATCCAAGTTGTCAGACCCCTGTGGCTTGTCATTGTTGATAGACAACAATAATTTTTTCACCTCTTCCACACTAACTTTACCGAATAAAAATTACAATGCTGGGTAGTGAGCTTGTGACCCCTTGTAGAATGAAAAAGTAATTTCCAGGGTAGGTCTGCCTGAGTATAAGTAAGTGTTAGACTTGTCCTGTGAACACTACGAGCGACAAGAAACCTCAAGAGAGACAAACCACAGAAAACTCTAAAGAAAAAATTAAGAAAACATGGATTTGTTAAGTACTGACCCGCCCGTGATGACATTAACATTGGAAGTAGGACCCAGGCTATATCATAAAGGGATGAGTAGACATCATCAATATATGATGCTCCAAAAAATACTTTTCTACATTTCTATAGAACCAAAATACCTCCCGTAACTGTACTGAAAGATCAAGTGTTGATGTCTAATGGACAACTATGGGGGTATATGTTTGATTACCCTATCTATAGAGTGAAACCATATACCTTAGCCCAAGGAGAAGAATATACAGACCAAACCTTAGGAGTGGACTACAGGATTGAAGACTGGTATGTGTTTCGCAAGGTGGTGTGTCCTGAACTGAGAGTTACCTCAAAGGGTTATAGCCTGTACACGGGGTACAAGGCCCGGTGGGAAGGTGCCCCTGACTCCTCAGGAAGAATATTTCATAGGGTGAAAATACAAAGAAAGAATGGACTTCCTTGTGGAGGCGTGGAGCTCTATATCAGCAACGAGAAAAATCAGTTAACGGGAACCTCCGTGATGGGGGGCTGACAGGGGATTTTAGGTTACGTATGCTTATTCCTTTTATAGGCTGGGATATAATGGAATTGAAATTGTTTGAGTTAGTGGATGCTCTCTTTGTACAGAGCCAACGCAGGCAGAGTATTGTTAAACTAAGGAAGTGTATTATACCTATGGATACTAAGGATATTGGGTGAAACGAGGCCCCAGAAGGGTCAACCCCTGAAAAAAAACGGAGTATGCTGGTGGTACGTTAACCCCGCCCCGAGCCCAAAGGAAGGGTTCAACAATAAAAAGGGGTTACCATAGTTACCCCTATGGTTCTTCATTTTATCATATACCATGGATACCATTTTCTACATGAACTGAAGTTGTCGATCTTCATCCATGAGAAACTCAAAGAAATCAAACATTCACTAGTGGACAACAACAAAGACAAGGAAGCTTTGGTGGCAGATGTGGTGACTTTCTGGCTCAATAAACCCCAAGAAAACGAATACGTTTTATTATTATAATTATATATATTATTTTTTTATTACATATAAAGTAATGGGGAACTATTTATATAACATGATAGAGAGAATAACTACATTTTTTATTTTCAGAGAATTTACAACTCTTATGAAACAAATTGACAAACCTGTACCCCTGCACATTGACTCTGTACCGGCACCCCACGTTATATAGCCTCGCTACTGTTATTTTATTTTACTGCTGCTCTTTAAATATATATATTTTTTACTTATTGAGAGGTTTATAATGGTGATGAATCTCTAGTTTGTTATTGAGAGGTTTATAATGGTCATGAATCTCTAGTTTGTTATTGAGAGGTTTATGATGGTGACGAATCTCTAGTTTGTTATTGAGAGGTTTATAATGGTGATGAATCTCTAGTTTGTTATTGAGAGGTTTAGAATGGTGATTAATCTGTAGTTTGTTATCGAGAGGTTTATAATGATGGTGAATGTCAGTGAACTTGTAGAGGTGACATCTGTTGGTGAGGCTGAAAAGAGATGGTGTTTTACTATCTGATAAAAGGTATATTCATTATAACCAACCATAATCATATGATATAATGACATCATAGTTCAATAACAATAACGCTGTAAGAGAACTAAAAACATGTAATAGTACTACGGGTCTGACTTCATTTGATTGGATTTGAGCTCTGAATGTTTGTTACCTGGCAACCAGACAAGTCCGTTCCATACAAGTTCATCACCTTCCTTTTCTTTCAGAAAAAACAACTGAAATGTGGGGTAGTAGTTGCTTTCATAGGAAGTGACAATGAAATAAAAAATTACATTGTAATAAAAAATGTATTACTCAAATATTGTATTCGATGTGCATCTGTGGAATTAGTGGAGAAGGCGTATTCTTGCGTCGGGGGAAGTTTACACTGAGAAGTTGTTAAAAGGTCTCACATTCCATCCCTTTCAATCACCGCACCTTGAAAAGACCAACAATAGACAGGTTAATTGTGCTTCAAAAAACCCTCTTTTTAAAAATAATTGCAGAGAATGTGAGTAAAAAAACGACTTAAAGCTTGAGAATAATGCAATAAGATCAAAAAGGTCAACAGATGGAATTCAGTCACACTTGCTTCTCTCCATAATGGTTTGATTAAATGTTTAGCCGTTATGCCAGTATTACATTTCCCATTGTGTGTTTGATTGAACTCCAGCCAGATAGAAGAAGGTTTCTGGGGTTGTAGGGCTCCAGCTCACCTCTTTTCTCACAACATTACTGGGAAGCAACAACATATTCAGGATGGACCTCTCTTCAGGGACAAACGGTTGGTAGAATAACAACACAAGCCCCTGGATAGGGAAGACAGGAGCCTCATCCTTGGTGAGGCCATAATCACAGAATCCAGTGATGTTTATTATAATGTGTGTTTCTGTTATCTCATGAGGAGGAAGAAACTCAATGATGTCATCAGTCACATGGGCTACAGACAGGAAGTCACATCCACCACCTGGGAAAGAAAGAGAACATTTAGATCTTTCTCAGATATACTACAATATAAATGACAACCAAGACAATGTAGAATATTAGCAGAGTAATCTTCTTTAGAGCAGTCTTGAAAGTGAAATTCCTCTTTTATTCCAGAAAGTTACTTGAAATGAATACTTACCAGAATGAATCTGAGAGTGTGGGAGGTGTAGTTGGCAGACAGACTTCTGAGGGCAGTCGATGTTGAACAGGGGTCCTGCAGGTCTCTTGCCTCTCTGGGCTAGAAGCCTCCTGTTCCAGGGGACTGTCCTATAGAGCACCTCTCCCTCTCCCTCCATCCTAAACACCAGGCCTGTTATACTGCACTGGAACAGACCTGCACTTGGGCACTGGAACCTGTAGAACAAACAATGAAGAATAGTATGTTCCTACTGTATCTACAAATGAAGAATAAGAACAAGGAAAAGAACATCAAGTTACCGGTATGTTTCCTTGCTGTGATGATGTCAGGAGTAAATTCATTGCAAAGCTCCTGAAATGTCAAAACAACAGATATTCAACCAACAGTATCCATCCATCCATCTATTGGTAAGTATATATATATATATATTGAATTTTACCAGGGATGGAGGAGTGAGAAATGGAGAGGTCACTCACGTGAATGTGAGACATGGAGTGAGACGTGGAGAGGAGAGACGTGGAGAGGAGAGACGTGGAGAGGTGACTCCCGTGGAGGTGAGACAAGGTGTCCTGATGGTGAGACATGGAGAGGTGTCCTGATGGTGAGACATGGAGAGGTGTCCTGATGGTGAGACATGGAGAGGTGTCCTGATGGTGAGATGATCCATGGATTCCTCAACAGGCTGTAATGATGAGGACGATGAAGGCATCAGGAGGGAGCTTGACCTTTCACTCTGGACACCTCTGTAGACTACAGAAGACCACACACTCACTCACACAGACAGACATACAGACACACTGAGTCTGCAGGTATCTTTCTTCATTGCTTTACCTCATGCCTAAAGTATTCCACACAAGCCTCTTCTGTATCACTTACTTGTACACACATATGCACGACTTTTATTGTGACGTTAGGTGAAATGATGAAGAAACACAACTGCAGATCCACATTTTGGGAAAGTCTGTACAACAATACTTTTCCTGCGGATATTTTGTCAGGACAACTAGCAGAGTTGAAATGAGAGTTTTATACAATGAAAAATAGTATACCCAAACGCGCTTCAGCTCAGCTTAAACTAAAAAGGAAATCAGGTGCTCCACTGAGGGACTTGATATCCAAAAAAACATTTCAAAACAAGCATCCTGTTTGTTTGTCAAATAATACATCTATCAGATCTACCCGGCAACAGAGTGCTCCTTTTTATTTATTCTCCTGGATAGTCACCAGTTGAAGTATCCTGAGGTAAGAAATGGTAGTCACCAGTTGAAGTATCCTGAGGTAAGGAATGGTAGTCACCAGTTGAAGTATCCTGAGGTAAGGAATGATAGTCACCAGTTGAAGTATCCTGAGGTAAGGAATGATAGTCACCAGTTGAAGTATCCTGAGGTAAGGAATGATAGTCACCAGCTGAAGTATCCTGAGGTAAGGAATGTTTTTTGAGAGTTTATACAATATTCTGACTTTTCAAAGGACTTTGGGGGATGGCAATGATTGTGCAGGCTACTGTATAGATCACCAGAGCAGTATGTGGATAGTGTGAACCCAATCATCCCCCATCCTCCTCACCGCGACCAGTAAATCTTCATCCTTTGTGATTCCAGTGACTTTGCTGCCCGATGCCTCTCTGTCCCAGACTCTAGAACTTCCAGTCAGTCTGACATGTTTCGTCTCTCTCTCTTCATCATTACCAGTGTCTGGAGTCGTTCCACCATCTTGTTGCTGTGGTAGATACTGCTATAGAAGTGAAGAGAGATAACGGTATATTTTACGTATTACATTGTCCTGTTCATCTACAATTATCTATTTAAATCATGTTGTCTTTGTTTGAAGGAACGTTTATGACACATTTTCTTAACACAGTTTTACGGTGTTATCTCTTCTGTGTCTGTAATCTCTCTCTAACTTCTCTGCTACATCATGTCGGTTCATCCTTCTCAGGATCATCAGTGTGATCCCAATAGCTTTCTCAGTGCCGTAGTTCTCCACCATATGATCCACTGTGACCTGTATGTCAACGTTCTCCAACTGGCTCTCAGTCAGGCAGCTGGACACTAGTCAGGTATGTCTGAAGCGTCTTCAGCTGTTCTTCAGTGAGCTCCTCCAGAGTGGTCAGCAGCAGAGCTGGAACATCCAACATGGAGGGTCTCTAAAATAACAAAGATGATCAGATATAAGGAAGAGAATAGAAATACTGACTACTGATATAAAATAAAGAACATGAACACATTAATATTGGTAGGACATACTAGAATCATTCTACTGGTCTCTCAATACCTCATTCTCATACACACACACACACACACATTAGTGATCTTCAACGGTCTGATCTCATCAGCATTCTCATCAGACACTGCTCTGTTCCCCTACACCACCACCACATGCTGTGATCACTTTACTGTTCCATATTCATTTCACAGGTCATGAAAAGGATGCAATAAAATAAAAGTTAAAGGAAAATATCTTCTTTTTTTTTTTTTTTTTCCCCGGTGCTTGGATATAAATGACATGTTATAGAAGTGTCCAGACACTTTTACATTTTATTTCACTTGGTTATGAGAAACGTACCCCGCCAGTGATAGACTTCCTCATGCTCATTCTGCAGTTGCAGGGGCACAGATAAACATGAACAAAGGCTCCAAAAACACCCAACTATGTCCTTTTAGAAACGGAAACACTGCTCGGGCTACTTCCTCTCAGAAGCAGCACACACCCACACACATTTGACACTGCTTATATGTCGGTGTCTAAGCCTGTAGTAAAACGTTATGGATGAGTTATGAATGAGTCAAGTGCTAGCAGCTATAACAACATTATGAATTCATAGCAAGATTATGACCTATTGAATCACTAAACAATACAATTTTTACATTACCTTGTAGTTTACCAATAAAATGGTCTGATGGTGATGTGGATATACTCGGAATACATATCCCAAATGAAATTAATGATCTCACTCCAATACATTTTAATAGAAAGTTAGCAAAAATAGATAAGATCTTGCTACCATGGAAAGGTAAATACCTGTCAATTTGTGGAAAAATCACCCCGATTAACTCTTTAGTATTATCCCAGTTTACCTATTTGCTTATGGTCTTGCCTACGCCTAGCGAACAGTTTTTGAAATTATATGAGAAAAAAATATTCAATTTTATTTGGAATGGCAAGCCAGACAAAATTTAACGGGCCTATTTATATAATGAATATGAATTTGGAGGACAGAAATTATTAAATATTAAAGCATTAGATCTATCACTAAAAGCTTCAGTCATACAAAAATTATACTTAAATCCGAACTGGTTCTCTAGCAAACTAGTAAGATTGTCTCACCCAATGTTCAAGAAGGGACTTTTCCCCTTTATTCAGATTACAACCCCTCACTTTCAGGTATTTGAAAAGGAAATCATCTCCCAAATTTCACTATTTCTAAAACAAGCCATAGAAAGTTGGTTGCAATTTCAATTTAATCCTCCAGAAATGACAGAACAAATATTGCAACAAATATTGTGGTTAAACTCAATATATTAATTGATAAAAAAAGTTCTTTTTTGAGAAAATATTTTTAAAAGGTATAATCTTCGTAAATTATATCATCGGTAGGAATGGTGGAGTTGTCACACATGCAGCTAACAAAAACATACCCAAAATTACAACCAAATAATTGCAGCATTACCGCAAAAATGGAAGAGGAAAGTGGAAGGAGGAAAAAGTAAGGAACTTGTCTGTCGGCCTTGCATTAAAAGAACATAATTGGTTAAAGAAAATTGTGATAAATAAAAAAGTTTACCAGTTTAATTTAAGGACCAAAAGATTGACAGCCATCCCATATAGATTGCTAAATAGTTGGGAAGAGATTGACGTACCGATTCCATGGCATAGTGTTTATGAACTGATACGCAAAACGATGCCGGATTCAAAAATTAGAATTTTTCAATTTAAATTATATAAAATTCTTGCTACCAATAGAATGTTATTTATATGGGGGATACAATCTTCCCAGCTCTGCAGATTTAGCTGTGAAGAGACAGAATCATTAGATCATTTGTTTTGGTTCTGTCCATTTGTAGCTTGTTTCTGGACACAGGTCCAAGAATGGCTGAAGGTTTGCAATATTTGCATGGAGCTGACCCTGCAGATAGCATTACTGGGTGATCTGAAAAGTCATAGTCAATCGATCAATAATACTTTTAGCAAAAATGTTTATTTTCAATTCACAAACTGTAGAAGCAATGAGAATAGAAAAGTTCAGAACTTTTGTAAAACATCACAGTTGAAAAATATGGCAAATAGAAATCCAATATGGATGGTGTTAAGAGATAGATGGGAGGTGTTGAATGGAGCTGAAGGATGGGACTAATAACAACTAATAACTAGTGTAAGACATGCTGTGTCCATAATAAGTATACAGGTTATATATTGTGAGCTTTTGTGAAAGAGCACAGTTAGAAAGATATGGCATATAGAAGCAAACCGGATGGACATCATGAAAATGATCGGAGGAAGTTCAGGAGTAAAAACAAACTAAATATAATTGACTGTGTCCATAAAATGTATATAGTATGTATAAGCATGAAGTAGAGACCTAAGCATTGTTGTTCACTAGTTTACTCCAATAGGCCCTTTTCACGATGACGTCATCTAACTTCCGCCTTTCCGCGTAGCAGGTTAACTTCACTTCCGTTCGCCCGTAACCTGAGACTTCTCAACGAAAATACAACTGTTGACCACTAACTAGCAAGCTAGCTACTTGAAGAAATTCCAAAAGGTACGTTTAAGTTAAATTAGTAAAGTTAAGAGTAATAATGTTTACGTATATGCAATGGTTTGTAACTTGCTAACGTTATTGTTAATTCATAATTGTTCACTGCCTTAGTTACTTAAAAGTGGGCTAACGTTAGCTAACAACAACTTAGTACCAGATACCGATAACGTTAAAAGGTAGCGTTACATTGCTGCCTGGCTGTAATGTAACAAGTTTACTTAGCTAGCTATCTAACCCTTTGTTAGGCAGTTAGTTTATTCATGAATGTATAGTAACTCACCTATTCAAATACTGTTGTGCATGATAGCTAGATAAATATTGATTCCTGGTCAAAGCTGAATGTTAATTTAGCTGTTTCTTTTCTCCCGGTGTCTGTATCGCAACAGTAGAGAACTGTTTATCTGAGAAACCTGAAGCCGATGAGCCTCCTCATTTTTCTTCATGGACCTGTAACATCGCCCTCTCACTGTCACCTCACCGTTAACTACACTTGAGACTGTTTCAATACAGTGATTGGGAGAAAGGGCGCAGCATTAGCCATTAATACATTACTGACTCTTATCTTACGGTCGATACAAACAGCAGTAATATTAAAAAGAGGCTGCAAAACAGAAACTCGTCAGCTCATAACCTTCGCTAGCATAGGGCTAATTTAAGCTAAATAAAGATAAACACGTACCTTCATAATCAAACAGGTAACCTTCAACGAAGAACTTGTAGCCTTTATCAAGCTTCGATCTTGAAGTAAGGGACCACTTGTCAGCAAGTCGTTCTACGTCGTTAAGTCGTATTGGTGGCAGATGTGAAAGGGACTGGGTGAACTCCATAATGATGTGCTACTAGCTAAGCGTTCCTAAGCGACACCGGATGTAAACATAACCTGCATCGCGGCAGAACGGAAGTTGTCTGACGTCACGTGAAAAGGGCCTATTAGGGAAGGGATGGTGGGGTTGGAAAGTAATAAAGGGAAATATGTGTATATGCGAGAAAAAAAGAAAAAAAACATATGGGGGATTGAAAGTGATGCAGACAATTACATTGATGGAAGTTACAGTCTATCTGCAATATTAAAGCTGATCTACCCCCTATAAAAAATATATACAAATAAAATAGTGTTTGCCCCCTTCCTGATTTCTTATTTGTTTGCATGTTTGTCACACTTAAATGTTTCAGATCAAACAAATTTAAATATTAGGCAAAGATAACAAGTAAACACAAAATGCAGTTTTGAAATGAAGGTTATTATTAAGGGTAAACAAAATCCAAACCCACATGGCCCTGTGTGAAAAAGTGATTGCCCCCTACAACCTAATAACTGGTTGGGCCACCCTTAGCAGCAACAACTGCAATCAAGCGTTTGCGATAACTTGCAATGAGTCTTTTACAGCGCTGTGGAGGAATTTTGGCCCACTCATCTTTGCAGAAATGTTGTAATTCAGCCACATTGGAGGGTTTTTGAGCATGAACTGCCTTTTTAAGGTCACGCCACAGCATCTCAATAAGATTCAGGTCAGGACTTTGACTAGGCCACTCCAAAGTCTTCATTTTGTTTTTCTTCAGCCATTCAGAGGTGGAATTGCTGGTGTGTTTTGGATCATTGTCCTGCTGCAGAACCCAAGTTCGCTTCAGCTTGAGGTCACAAATAGATGGCCGGACATTCTCCTTCAGGATTTCTTGGTAGACAGCAGAATTCATGGTTCCATTTATCACAGCAAGTCTTCCAGGTCCTGAAGCAGCAAAACAGGCCCAGACCATCACACTACCACCACATTTTACTGTTGGTATGATGTTCTTTTTCTGAAATGCAGTGTTACTTTTACGCCAGATGTAATGGGACACACGCCTTCCAAAAAGTTCAACGTTTGTCTCGTCAGTCCACAGAATATTTTCCCAAAGGTCTTGGGGATCATCAAGATGTTTTCTGGCAAAAATGAGACAAGCCTTAATGTTATTTTTGCTCAGCAGTGGTTTTCATCTTGGAACTCTGCCATGCAGGCCATTTTTGCCCAGTCTCTTTCTTATGGTGGAGTCATGAACACTGACCTTAACTGAGGCAAGTGAGGCCTGCAGCTCTTTGGATGTTGTTGTGGGGTCTTTTGTGACCTCTTGGATGAGTCTTCGCTGTGCTTTTGGGGTAATTTTGGTCGGCCGGCCACTCCTGGGAAGGTTCACCACTGTTCCATGTTTTCGCCATTTGTGGATAATGGCTCTCACGGTGGTTCGCTGGAGTCCTAAAGCTTTAGATATTGCTTTATAACCTTTTCCAGACTGATGGATCTCAATTACTTTCTT